CTGTAGGGGGTTAGGATTGGGTGACGATTTGGATATATTTTATCTCCTAACAATATGCAGTTCAGGAAACAAAAGGTCATTTCCAATGTGTCGCATGAGCTGATACTGTTGGGCGTCATTATGGTGCCCAAAAATCCCGTCTCCACATGACGTATTTTGCCAGTGTTGTCAATAACTATCTGTGAATGCAAGCAGTGGTAATGCCTGTGTCCTGCGAAGAACTGTTGCTGGTTGATTTTTGGTCTGTAAATCTCATGGCTTGTGCCATCTAATGCTCCAACAGCAGGAATTATTTTAGGCCAATTCCCTCGCAAATTCTGCCACTCGTTAATTCTTGGCCATCCAATAACGCAGAACGCAGGCTTGTTGACAGACCAGCAGCTGGACAAGCAGAACAACCGAGGACACAGCCTGATGATGGATCGCAACCACAACCAGCCGGTCACAGCCGGAACAGCAGCGCCCGCATACAACAGCCGCTCCCACACGAGGCATGCGCGACAATATAGCTGCTGGGCTTTCCTCTTCTGAGAGCGATAGTGACAACGACGTCAACAGGGCGTCCCAAGAAAACAATAGGCGCAGAACTAGTCCGGAAAAATCACGAACTGTATAAAAAGTTTATGAAGAGGAAAATGCCAAGGCTTTTGAGAGACATTGGCTACGATTCGTCTGAATCTAATTAGATGTTTTGCTTTCAAAATAACATTTTAATAAAAAGTGTCTTGAATCCAGAAATAATTTGTATTTGCCTTGCTTTCAGCTTAATGTGTTTTGAGAAGTCCCCCAAATATAATATATAGTTCACGGACTGCTCTCCATGTTCATTGTCGTCCGCACAACTTTATTATAGGACGCCATCGTCTATAGACATATTATACCTAGCTTTCCTCTGTTGAAAAGATAAATATATGTTTTATAATGGCTCTAGAGCATGTCAGATTGCTATACCGTGAAGAAAGCTGCGTGGAATGTGAAATTATGTGTCATTTAATTAGCAAAACGTAAACTAAGTGGTACTTTGTCTTCCATAATTTAAAAATACTTTATCACTTAAATATCATAAATGGTCAAAAAGTAAAAGATGATTTAGCTAAAAAAAAATAACAACCTTTTAAACTTATAATGACGACATCTTTAAACATAATTATTTAACTTTTAATGTAACTTGCATAACAACAGCTAAAATGAACATTACTTATATACGTATAAATATTTATTTCATGTTTTCCAGTGTTTTACTGTAATATATCAGATGATTATATTCTGATAAACCAATAGTGAAATCTATAAAATATAATTACCACTGTAGATTGACTATATCTGAATGCGGATGAAAAGAATATCATAACTAAATGGAATAACAGGCAAAAATAAATGCCGTCATACGTAAATTTTGATTATTGGGGAAAAGAAAGTGGATGTAATCATACATCATGTTAAAAATGTAGCAAAATAAGAGAAAATTTACATATATATTTCAAAATAGACGATGTGATGACGTCAAAAAGGAGAACGCATGCCATTACGCGGCAAAATCAATGAATGAAGTGACTTCGTATTAAGACATAATATTTTTAGGGTAAAAATCTATATATTTAACTCAAATTGAAGTTGGTTTATTAATTACAAATTATTCGATTTACACTGACTTTGCTATAATTGACTGTAACTTAGTAATTAATGAATAGGTCCTTTTCATACTTGGACAGATAAGACCTCCTAAAGGGTTGTACTGACCTTAACAATGAGCTTTAAATGACCTTGACTGTCAAGGCCAATTTATTGAATTTCGGTTCAATTGTCATTATTTTGTTATTCATGTACAGATTTGGTTCATACTAGTTAGGACACAACAACACTTATGACAAAACGGCGGATTGAATAATTCAGATATGATATGACCTTGACCGTTTAAAGACATTGACCAAAATCAAAAACAGATATTTGCATTTTGCTTATATATGTCTTATCTTTGCCATTTATTTATGGAAATAATTCAAACTTGTGCACAACAAGTGTGACTTGACATACCTATTAAAATAAAAAAGTAAAATCTAAAAATTTTCTTTTTAAAGATTTGTTGAAACAGTTTATTTTTTGCTTTTGGAAAAAGTAAAAACGTTGATCGTTGCCCATGCCCGGCTAAGGCTCTTGTTTATTATCAATTATTGGTCGAGCACAGGCATAATAATCAATCTATTTCTCTGTAACTAATTCAACTCAACTCGACAGTAAAAAAATAAGCATTATGGTACCTTAATCACGCACGCAATTCACGGTATTTCACTTTCAATAAAAACCGATAAATAAAGTATCAAATATTCATGTTAATTACCTTTTAGTGTTCAATTATTGATCTTCACATGCTTTCAAATATATTGAGTTCATGTCATTTACCTTTCATTTTCCTCTCATTAAAATAGTTTACGACTCATTAATATCCTTGATGATCTTCTCCTCCAGACGCTTGCAGAGAAGTTGTGTATCTGGTATTGATTTACTTGGTGGGGATGGATCCTCTGTAAGTATAAACGATTAAGATATTGAACTTGAAACTATTTCTCATAAAAAAAATGCTAATGTTTATTAAACTTTATGATGTGTATATAAGATTCAGAGTTGACTTATCATACATGTATAAGATAGCGCCTGCAGATCTAACATAAGTGTTATATGTTGAATCTAAATTAAATATGTTGTATCTAAAAAATTCTTATAATTTCTATGGACATGGTAAGGCTAATCATATGGTAATTCAATGAGAAATACTGGCTCCCCAGAGTTCTTAAATCAGCATGAATATTTTTTTTAATAATGATATTATCCATGTTTTTGGGTTACTGTTAGATGAATGTAATAAGTTGATGCTGAAGTGTGTACTACCTGCAATATATACAATTGAGAATAAACAAATATTATACTAATGTCAATACTCTGCTGCCTAAAATAAACAGATAACCAAACAGTACTAAGCAATGAGTGTAAAGTTTCTTGCTCCAGGACACAAAAGCTTGCCACTAACGGGTTGAACAACACATGCGATAAATTAACCACTAAGCCATGCTGCCACATTAAAACAAGGTGATTAATTTCTGCTAGAAGAGCTGCGATATGAATTTCATTTTATATATATCTTTTTAATCAAGAACTGTAACTCTTTCATAGTGAATAGCAAAATCAAACATCAAAGTAACTATATAGTCTTAAAATTTGTTTGATTTGCCAGGAAATATGTTTTTGATTAATTTTAAAGTAATGTTTTTGGTTAATTCCCTAAAGTAGTCTGATTTTAGTTATCTAAAACATCTCACTAACTTGACAGAATAAAATTGAGTTTACTCTAAAAATCAACCAGCATTCTTGATAAAAAGTTTAGACACTTGAGTATTTTAAAGTACATACATTTCCTGTAGCAATGGCTGTTGACACAAATATTATTTACTAGTTATTATGTTTATTGACAAAATAAGATTATTTTCTTCAACAGTTTGGTGTTAGCAATATTTCTGTGTAATGTCTAAAATTCTAGATATATTAATTAAGCAAATCAATTGATGATAACATTTACAACAGATCATTCAACTATCTTCTTTCAGGAAACAATTTCAATGAATGTTTTACTTGTATTCAGGACTCCAATCCACTCTTATTTCCAGTAATATAGTTTATATGCGTGCTATCATGTACTTCCAGTAATATAGTTTATATACAAGCTATCATGTACTTCCAGTAATATAGTTTATATACATGCTATCATGTACTTCCAGTAATATAGTTTATATACAAGCTATCATGTACTTCCAGTAATATAGTTTATATACAAGCTATCATGTACTTCCAGTAATATAGTTTATATACAAGCTATCATGTACTTCCAGTAATATAGTTTATATACAAGCTATCATGTACTTCCAGTAATATAGTTTATATACAAGCTATCATGTACTTCCAGTAATATAGTTTATATACAAGCTATCATGTACTTCCAGTAATATAGTTTATATACAAGCTATCATGTACTTCCAGTAATATAGTTTATATACAAGCTATCATGTACTTCCAGTAATATAGTTTATATACAAGCTATCATGTACTTCCAGTAATACAGTTTATATACATGCTACCAATGTTATGTTTAAAACTACAGTATACATCCTCATTAGGTAACAATATCTGGTTTTTATATACCCCCACAATTCCTTGTTATACAGAAAATGCTCAATAATGAAGACAAAAAAAGTAAAATCAGGACAGACACTTTAGACTCTATCAAAATACACTTTAATTGAAAAAAAACAACAACAACAAATCACTTCATTCTGGATTTGCTTTTTAACAGAATAAAATCAGTTGCAATACATCACAATAGTATGTGTGATTTCACACAAGCTAATAAAATGCAAATATTTATTGAATTTAGAGACTTGACACTAGTTACCCTACCAGTAATATCTGACTCTGGAGCAGTAGGTGAATAATCAGATGTTCTATAATCACTATCTGTCCATGTACTTGAGTCTTTAGGTAACATAAACGACGCCTCCGCTGACCTACTTCTCCTGTGACGACCTCGAGATCTCGCGCTATTCTCTGTAAAAGTAGAGCAAACTATACATTACAAGACTTTCCTTGTGTACATAAGCCTGTTTCTCAGCTCTGTTATATAACTAACTGTAACTGATACATTAGCTTTTTCACTTTTTAAAGGCGCTAAAGCCTCACTTTATTTTAGTTTTGTTGACAAAAGACTTAAATGACAAGATGTAATTTCAGATATTTGGGATTAAATGTCACTAACATTATCCAGTCATGTTGAGATTTTAATTATACAGTGTCACACATAGACTCCAGGTAGTCTTTTTGACAAAAAAAAACCTCCTCTGATATATAATCACACTTTAGGCATGAACGCTTGTACCAAACCTGTGAAGGTAATAAAGAAACAGGTAGAAAATATTTAACACATTGTTTCAGTATTAATAATTATATAAATGTACCTTTTAGTTCAGGGGAGTAGAGTGCATATGTACCAGTCTGTGACCTTGACCTGTTGTGTATTCTATCATCAACCTCAGCATCGCTATAGTAACTGATGTCTGATGGTGCTGGGGGTACTCTAAAATTATAAGAATTATTAAACTGATAACAGTGTTCATAATACATACTCCAGTCCAAGTATTATTTTGAATTGATGAACTTACAATGTAAAAAGTAAAAAATAGTCTTAAAGTTTGATCAACATAAACAGTTTCTACTTTCTATCAAAATTTATAAATAAAAAAACTTTGAATCTTTAAACTAGTAATTATTTAAAAAGAGCGCATTTTACTCGCTGTGTCTTTGAAATGTATGCATTATTATTATTAAGAGAATCGACCTGTAATGTGTAAATGCCTTCTTCATCTCAACTGGAAATATGTCAGCAGTCTTTAGTTTAGGACGAGATTTGTTGGCAAGTTTGATATCTCGACCTCTAATGTCTCTATGTCTTGTAGATGGTGCTGTACTGCCTCGCTGACTCTCCCTATCTTTCATTTTGTCATGCCCATGTTTATCATTCCCTTGATTTGTGTCTTGTCTGTCAGTTATCATGTTTCTCATCTCATTTTACAAAAGCTTCAATTTTTATCCAATTTCTTTGTAGTTCTCACCAGACAGATTTACAGAATATAATAAATATTCTACTAAGATTTGAATGGCTTATTAAAAATATTTTCAGTTAACTTTGGTATCTGTAATTCTATGTCCATTATCAAATATACAGCTTCATTTGAAATACGTACTAAAGTCATAAAAATCTGATTTACCTCAAAGTGAAAAGAGGAAGGGAAATTTTAACATTCTATTTTTCTTACGTTGGATAATAAATTGTTAACAATGTAAATATCATAATAATTATAAAGATTATATAGATTTACCAGTGTCACTGGTTGAGGAAAAGGAAAACATAAGGTTCCTTTCTGTGCATAAGCTGGAAGCTTACAAGTACCATAATGATAGTTTAACCTCTAAGTGAGTTTCACAGAATGTAGTCTATCTTGCTGTGTTATTGCTGTGCCATTTGATCTGGTCTCATGTTTGAATACCCTTGGTGCTGAACTGTACCAGAACGAGGCTGAATGGTTGAATGCCTTTCATACTTTGAATATCCTTGTGATTGGACTGTTTCCCTATCATGAGGTTGCCCTTGACTGGTCCTCTGTTTGGACTCCAGCTTGTCTACATGTTGACTGGCAGCTTTTTGTACTGCTTCCTATTTCATACGATTTGATAAATTAAAAATATCCTTCAACAACTTGTACTAATTCTTTAAAAGCCTTTACATTTACAGGTTTCACTTTATTGAAACTAACACAAAATATACTGTTTTAATACTAGTTTCTTAAAATAGATATGATAATTTAATTTCAGACAAAGCAAAGAACTATTTAAATCTTAAAAGAAAAAAACATATTATAATCATCAAAAACTTCTGGTACTTCTCTACAGTCAAATACATTGAATTTAAACAGAACTTGCTACAAGGTCTCTAAATTTGGCAATATAACATTTATGGTTTCTATACAGAAAATCAATTTTAAGAGTTGTCACAATAACACATTAGTGATAAATTAAGGACTTTCCTTAATTTTATGTTTCAATAGAAACTATAATTTTCACAGCATGAATTATACCTTAACTTCCAATTTATGAGCTAGCTTCATTCGTGTCATTTCCTGCTCAAACATTTCCACCTGAGCTTGTGTTCTGGCATTCCATAATGCGGCCTGGAAATGATAAACAATTCTGTTATTGCTTTTGTTATTTATTTTATCACCATTTTAACTTAAAATGGCTAATTAATTACAAGACAAGTTGAGTGGTAATATATACAACAACATTTATCTGAAATACTGCTTAATCTCATGTGCACACAAACAGATTTGTATGAGCAATGAAGATGAAATTTTAAATAAAATTTGAAAAAAAAGAAGTTAATAGAAATGTTATAACAATTAAAACAGATAAACTTAATATCTTATCATTCAAATTGTTACGTTATGCAATTTATTATCATACACTTATCAAGTCACTTTCACTAAAAAATGAGAAATGGTTAAAATAATATTTCAATGAAAACTTGTCTTAAATACTTTACAATTTAATGTCACATCATACATTCTAAAACAAACAACTGTAGTATCAACATCATAAGACTTAAAACGGTTATCTAAAACTTTTTGAAAACAAATCAAAGCTGAGTATACAAGACACAGTTAAACTACACTTATTAGTAATTTTACCACCTAAATATTGATATCAAAACTGACAAGTTATTAACTTAAAAACATTATTAATTGTGTCACTCTAAGCTGTCAAACATGTCAACACAAGAAGATATTCATATAACATTCTCTAAAAGTGTTTTCATAAAAAAAAACATATTTATATCTCTCATTATAAGATTTATCAAAAGGTTTTTCAAAATCTCTGATCTTTCAACGTCATTCAGATAATTACATTATATCCATTAAGCAAACATCAATTAAGAAAACAGATAAAAAAGAAAAAACTTGGCTTAATGATAGTTTTAAGATAAAAGACATTTATATATAATTCATCAATTTTAAAACATTAAAATATAATCATTATAGTATCTGTTTTATTTACCATCTTACATGTAAAAACATCCTGCATGCTTTTAGTGTGTGCCACGTAACTATACATGTGACATGTGAAACATTACCCCATAAAATGCATTAACACTAATGGAAATATTCAATTATTTCTTAGAGAATAAATGCAGAATTTCTTAATTTAATAAGTTCCAAACATTTTCATTAATAATTTAATGCTATTTTTCTTAAAATGTAACCAAATCAAACAAATCTGAAATAATGTGGATTCAACATGGTTTTCACAATGAAAGAAAAGTATCATTCAATTAGCCATTTTATCATTAAATATAGAGAACGAAAATAATCATAAATTTTTTAAAACAAATTTATTTAATATATAAAACAAAACAATTTCTTTTGATTAAAATATTCAATTCATAATAAGGTATAAAAAGTTGAAATCCCATACATTTTCATAAAAATAAACCTTCTACAAAACCAAAGGGAATGTAACACAACAATAAAACAGATATATTTATCAATTTGTTTAACTTTAAAACTATATATAAAGTCTAGAATATAACAAGATTACATACATGTATATTATTTTATTAATTTGTTTAACTTAAAAATAATATACAAAGTCTTGAGTATAATAAAAACAGGACTTCTTAAACTGAAATTAATGAACAATTGCATAATTTTCTTGTAATTATGTGAAAACCTAAAGTCTGCTGCTTTTAAAAAACAGTTTTTTAATAGTCTACAATGTTTATAGCAGAAACTGGTACTCATACATAATCATGAAGGAGATAAAATCTATCACTCATAATGATATAATCATTGATTCAAAATAAAAACGCAAAGTCTAAATTGAAAATTTTCATTAGTACTACATTTATCTGAATATCTCAACTTAATTTAATTTGTTAAAGTCAGACAGAACATCATCACATTAACATCAGTATGCCATTATTCCCTTTAGAGATCTAACATCCATATACAAAAAATGTAAAAGGAATGCAAAATGTTTTATGTCCTATACTTAAGCTATAATCAATATATAAACAAATCTTGCTGTAATTATTATAAAAACAGATCTTCCCTGACTGTACCACATCGTGAACCTGTTTTTCCTTCTTAACATATAATATATATGTAGACATTATTTTGAAAACTTTGACCAATATTAATAATATCTGTCATATGTTGCAGTTCGGAACAGAATATCAATCCCATGGAAAATCGCCCACATGGGGATAATGATACTTGCCAAGTTGCCACCCTGGGTGGGTACCTGAGAGAAAGATATTCCAATCACAACAGCAAACACATGTCAGATATTTTTCCTGTATATTCTACCACATACTGTGAGATACTGCTATAACTCTCATAGTATGTTATGTATTGGGGAACTAAAAATCATGACAGCAACCACAGTGACATGTTGGTGATGATGATGACAATAGTGATGCTACTGTTGCTGAAACAACAAGTGATGTCAAGATGATTATAAAAATAATAATGAAGATGATGATGATTTTGTTTGTTTGTTTCATTTTACGCCTTTTCCAAAACAGTATTTCATTAAGATAGGCGGGTAGTTTCCTAACCATCGTTCCTGGAGAGTTACACAAGTACAAGACTACCTTCCTCCGTGCTAAACTACCAAAGTATTTCCCGGGGATTGAACCCACGCCAGAGAGGTAACTTGCTTAGAAGTCATCGACTCTAACCCCTCGACCACAGAGGCGGTCAGATGATGATGATGATGATGATTACCAATGATCAGATGACAGTGATGATGATGATAACAGGTGACATTAGGATGATGACAGTCCTAGTTGTGCTGACTGGTAATGTTTTGATAATTACTATAAATATGGCAACGATAGTAAAAGTAAATATGAAGGCTTCTACCATAATGAACATCGTAGCCGAAGAAAACTGCTACATCTACTGATGATGAAAATGATAATGTGATGACTATAATAATGATGATGACAGTATAAGCAGCAAGCTTAAAGTGGATAAACCATTCATAATACAACAACAATGTAAACGTAAACAGACATTAGCTAAATCTCACCACATAATACCTTTCCCTTATCTTTCCCTATTTTCTTCAACACACTCTCTATAGCTACATACTGGCAAAAAATGAATGAGGAGCTTGTAAACATGGTGTTAAATTATGTTATTAATTTCATCAATTTATACCATAATGTGGCAATAATGGTAATTATATATTTCTATGTATTGCTATGCCAGCAAGCTGACCCATACACCACTAACTTTGTGATTTGAATTTCCGACTCTTAATCTTTTTTCATTATCAAAAAGCTTAAAAAGTGTTTAATATAAAATCTGGCCTAAATTCATGGATGTCCAAAATGGCCAGACTTTTATACTAGAAGCATTTTAATTACCACTTACACTATGAGTGACTTAAGCAAAGTTGTTAGTTTCAGTCTTTAAATTGCTTCAACCTTTACAGAGAGAGAAAAAGGGAAAATAACTGTCTAGTTTTCTAAGTGAATGATACATCAAATTTAGATTTATAAGTGAAAGATATATTAAATTTAAAGTGTAATGATAATGGAAAACATGCCGTCAGCAATTGGGGATAATTTCTGTCACAGTTTCTTGACAGTTCTGTGGTCGCAATAGTGATAACTTAATAGAAATACTCTTTGGTTCAATGAATAATAAATAATAAAAATGACTGTCATAAATTTCTCAGACAAATACATTTATTAAAAGAAATTGAAATCCATGAAATTTTATAGCAATTTCTGAGACATTAATATATATGCCTCCAGAAAGCAGATGATTAAATGAATGTCAGAACAAACTACAATACAACTTCATCTGCACAGCATTGTGGTTATAAAAATATTTCTTTATTTTCAATTAATACCAAACCATTCATGACCATTATTCCTTGTATTGCAGTTATTGATTTACAAAATATGTTACGTTTTCCTTTCAGAAATCCTATCATTCTTTTCCTTTTCAATCAAAATTAAGAAAATTGGCAGAACAACTGCC